GTTCGCCGTTACAGGGCACCGAGCCATATTACACTATTACACCAGAGATCAGTCTCGAGAGACTGATTCCCTTAGTAGACTTTTTGGCAGAGTGGGAACTACTGGTCTCAGTGGCCCACGCTGGTGGGCCCCGAGCAGGCTCTGGCCATGGAGCAAGAAGTAGCTTCTCTTCTGAGGAAGGAGGCCATCGAGGTGGTCCCTCCTCATGTGAGGCAGTCCGGGTTCTACAGCCGGTACTTCATAGTTCCGAAGAAGGATGGGGGGTTGCATCCGATTTTAGATCTATGTCAGTTGAACCGCTCAGTAATGTGACTGAAGTTCAGGATGCTTACTATCAAGCAGGTCGTGTCTCAGATCAGGTCCAAGGACTGGTTTGTCACGATCGATCTAAAGGACGCATACTTCCTTGTATCCATCCTTCCCACTCACAGAAAGTTCCTGAGGCATCCGCTTACTAAACTATATCGACGATTGGTTGATCTTAGCTCAGTCAGAGCAGAATACTTCCATGTATCCATCCTTCCCACTCACAGGGAGTTCCTGAGGTTTGCTTTCGGGGGCAAAGCGTACCAATATCGTGTCCTTCCTTTCGGCCGTGCACTCTCACCCCGCACTTTCACTAAGTGTGTGGATGCAGCCCTGGCTCCGTTGCGACTTCAGGGCATCCGCATACTAAACTATATCGACGATTGGTTGATCTTAGCTCAGTCAGAGCAGATGGTGGTTCGACATCAAGATGTCATTCTCGCCCACATGAGAGAGCTGGGGTTAAGAGAAAACACCAAGAAGAGTGTGCTTTCTCCATTACAGAGGACCACTTATCTAGGCGTGGTGTGGGATTCGACCACGATGCAGGCACGTATGTCCCCTGCTCGTATCGAGTCGATCCTCGCCGCAGTCGCGAGAGTCAGAGAAGGCCGGTCACTCACTGTCAAGCAGTTTCAGAGACTGCTGGGTCTGATGGCAGCTGCGTCCAACGTGATACCTATTGGCCTGCTGTACATGAGGCCCCTACAGTGGTGGCTCAAGACCAAGGGGTTCTCCCCGAGGGGAAACCCGCTTCGCATGTTCAAGGTCACGCGG